CCCTCCTGCCTCAGCCCCGTCTGGGACCTCCTCCGAGCCCCACCTTGAAAAGGGAGCGTGTGGGGGGGGGGACGCGCGCGAAGGAGCGCAAGGGGGGGCTGGCCGCCCTGCCACGCTCCCCCAGCCTCCGAAGGGCCTCACCTCCTTCTCCACATCCACCCGCGTCTCATGCTCGTTCACGGAGCCGCCTATGAGGGGGTCGGTAACGGTGGGCTCGGCCCCCTCGGCCACGTGGTTGGCACTGTGGTGGTGGACGAGCAGAGAGCCCAGCGAGCCGGCCGAGATGTTGCGGGGAAAGGAGAACTCCTTCTCGTCCGAGGGGTGGCTGCCGGGGAAAGGGGGGGAAAAACCCCAAAACTCTTGAGTCCGCAGGCCGCTCTGGGAGCAGGGAGCCGTTCCTTCGAGGGGGGTGGGGGGTGGTCTCTGCCCTGGAAACCCCTCTCCTCATGGGACGGCCTCCCCAACACCTGGAATGACGAGGGCCTCGGGCCTCACCTGTGCTTCAGCAGCAAGGCCCGCAAGACGTTGGCCCGATCCTCCGCCCGGATCTGGTCCGAAATAATCATCTGCTCCACAACCTGGTGGGCCACCCCAGGGAGGGTCTTCTGGTCCAGGTCAAGAAGGACAGCGAGGTAGCGGCGCAGGCTGAGGAGAAGCCGGAGTCGGGGTAGCGTCCCAGGAGGAGGAGCAGGGCGCCTGGAGCAGGCCGAGGCTTGAGGAGCTGCTGCTGCTGCTGCTGCTGGAAGACCACCCTCGGACCAAGAGGGCTTGCCTTCCGCTCCCTGGCCCTTCTCCTGACGCCCCTCCTCGCCCCCCCTCCGGCTAGGCGTACCATGGGACAAGGTCCGGCGCAGCTCCAGGAGGCTGCGGAAGGAGAGGGAGGCCACGTGGGGCTTTCCCCAGCGATCCGTCTCCTCCTCCACGTCCTCCTCAAACTTGATCCATCGGGCTGTCTCCTTCCACTGCATCTCCTGGTTCTTGTCCACCATCAGCTCGTTCAGCTCCACAAAGACCTGCACCAGGAAGGGCCAAGCCACCTCAACGGCTGGGAGGGAGGGAGGGAGGGAGGGAGGGGCCGGCCGAGGCCCCTCAAGACCAGCAGAGCCCCTTCCTGCGTCGGGGTCGGGCCGCCAGGTGCCTCCAGGACGCCCGAGCCCAGGGCAGGACAGGGCCCCACACCTGCTGTGCGGGGCCCCACGGCCATCCTCCTCTGGTGGCTACTCACCTCGTGGGGCTGCCGGTCCACTTTGCGCTGGGGGCGGGCGCTGGGCTCTCGGCGGTCCCTCCCGATGTGCACCACTTGGCCCTTGGCGCTCTTCCGAACCAGGTGCCTGCGCACCCCTGGGACGTCCTCGAACCTGTGGCCTGCAGGGAAGCATCCGGGCGTGGGTGGGGTGCATGGCCTTGGCCCCCGGCGCCCTTCTCTGATGGGGCTTGGCTTGGGGAGGGAGCGTGCCCACGAGTACACAACACGAGCCAAGGCTCCTGGCGCTTGCTTGCCAGTGGTGGCACAGCGGCAACCCCAGCTGGGAGGTCGGCTCCACTACCAAGGTCCTCTCGGGACCGAAGCAGGACGCTGGGCATCTGCCATGAGCCCTGCTTCCCTCCCCTCCCCTCCCCTCCCCTTAACATCAGGCCAAGCCCCACTGAGAGGGTATTCATTCCTTGGGTAGAAAAACCTCAAAAGGCAGTTTTGGAGCTCTGAGTGAGAGATGACACGGGGAACCTCCTGCTCCTCCTTCCAGGCACCCGAAAGAGGAAGAAGACAAAAGCCGAGAGGCTAAACACCCCCTCCTCCTTAGGGCTAGCCAAAACTGCCCATCACCACCACCACCACCAGGCGCCGTCTCCTCCCCCAGGCCCCCCTCCCCAAAGGCCGTATCGCTGGCCACGGCCTCCCCACCTCCAGAGAGCTACTAACGGACGCCAGAGAGGCAGCTGTTGTCCATTTCAGGTCCTCTTTGTGGACCCCTCAGTGGGCATCGGGGGGGGGGGCTCCTGAAGGAGTAGAAGGCTGGACTGGACAGATGGCCCTTTGGCCTGACTCAGCCTTGGGACACACACCCACACCCACACCCCGAACACCTTAACGCTCAATGCCCGTCGGAGAGGACATGCCTGGTTTTGCTCCTCCTCCACAGTCCAGCAGCAGTCCACAAAACGTCTGCCACGTGAGGACTGCCAGGCTAACACAGGACATGTGGCTAGGCAGTGTGGCCAAGACCAAGCATGCCACGGCATTCCCGGTTCCAGTGCACAGGCATGAAAGCTGGAAGTGGAGCCACGGCCTTGAGGGCGCAAGACGTGAGCCGAGGCTATTCGTGGCGGAGCCTTCTGCAGGCTGCTGACCCACAAGAGGGCGGCTGGAGGCCAGAAGCCCCTTCATGGGAGATGGCGAGGGGGAGGGGGCCCATCCTCGCTCCCTTTCTTGCAGCCGATTCATTCCAGCCACTGAGTTCTAGCTGGCCATTGATTTTCCCTTGGGCACTGCAACTCAGGCAAGAGCCTGTGCCATCATCCTCCTCGCCCCCCCATCTCCCCCCACCCACCCGGGGGGGGGCTCTTGGGCCTCCCCCTCCGTCACTCACTCTTCATGTAGTCCAGGTCAGCGGAGGCCAAGGTCTGGGCCTCCGACTCATCCGTGGGCACCTGGGGGTAGCGGGCTTGATCCACGCCGGTCATGCTGCCGATCCGCCGGCGCTCGTTGAGGTTGTAGCTGCGATGCCCAAGCTGGGACTTTGAGAGGGAGCGCCCAGGAGAGCCTGCCTCGGGCACGACGGGTCCCTCGGTGCCCTCGAGGGCCTCCTCGGCATC